ATGGAAGAAATAAATTAAAAAAAAAAAAAAAGTCAACTTTAGAAAGTCCAGTTTCCGCACATGCACACTCATGCACACACACTTGGAAAACCCCAGTGCGTCCCAGGGTGGGTGTGACAGGTGGGACTGAGGTAGAGGGAGCAGCAGGTGCCAGGAGAAGCCTTGGCCTGGCCAACGGCCTGTACAAGTGTCCTGCAGGGACACAAACACACCTTTCCGAACAGCAGCAAGGATTCTGGGGTTCAGGTCCAATTGACCCAGATCCATTTCTTCAACGGGTTGATCACGGACGGGGCTTCCCAGGGCCAGATGAAGCAGCAGGTGCAAATTCCCGCGTCAGCGCCGACTGCTGGGGCAGGCGGCCTCAGGGGAGCGCCCTGGCCAGTGCGGTGCGTCCTATGTGTGGCTGCACTCGCCGTGGGCGTGGCTGGGAGCTGTCACCGAGCGGCCGGAGGACTGCGGTGTGCCAGGAGTTCCATCTGGACTCGCCTCTAGGAGCCACGTGGTAACAAGGAATTCTCGATTCACTGTGCCATGGCTGCATGAGAACCCCCAGACCCCGAATGTCCACAAAGTGCACGCCGAGCCCCCAGTCCAGGCGCGTGCCTGGCCACCTCAGCTCTCGGGATGGCGGGACAGCCCCGACCCACGCAGGGCGCTCACCCCCGCAGCGTGTCTTCTGCCCTCTCCAGTTTTCTGTCCCTGAACAGTGTCACCACGGGGATTCTGGACAGGCGTGTGGGCCTCTGCAGGCTGCTTGGGGAGCCTGTCCTGTGGGGCTGGAGAAAGTGGGTGGGCCGGGAGCAGGGCTGCCTCGGCCTCTGTTCCTACCACATGGGCCGTGTCCCAGCCTTGCAGAGGGCAGGGCCAAGCCTGGACAGGGCACGAGGAAGGTCACGGCAGCCCTAGCACTGACCGCGGTGTTGCGTCCTCGCCAAGCCTGGGACTTGGCGCTGGGTTGCGGGGAAGGTCAGGCGACCTGGCGTTGAGGCTCTCCCCTGTGGTACGTAGGGCCGTGGGACACCTGGCTTTGGGGCCTGCACCCCGCATGGCCACAGCCTGGACACAGGCTGGTGCAGGCAAGGCCGAGGACAGATGGCTGAGCCCCAGGCCTGTGGTGACCCCACGCCCACCCTGTGAGGCAGCTGCTTGTGCGTGGACACGCTTTCTGCCCTGCCCTGATCACAAGGCTCTCGGGGCCCCACCCTGGCTTCCGCAGCAGAGCCAGCAGCTGCTCATCTGCTCTGGCCTGCACCAGGGGACGGGGAGCCCAGGCGGGGGGAGCTGCCCTGTGAAGGCTGGCCTGGCAGCAGTGAGCAGGACCAGGGCCCACGGTCCAGGCTGGGACGGGCCGTGGACTGCAGCATCCCCACACCGTGGCCCGAGTCCGACCCCACCGGCAGGACACACACGGAGCGGCACCACCTGGGAAGGCCCTGCTGGGTGGGCGGCAGCAGCGTTCTCAGAACACGGGTCACAGTGAGCCCAGGGCTGGGGACACCTAGGCACGCCCTGGGTACCACCCCTCAGTCCCCAGGGCTGATAAGTCTGGTTTTGAACAAGTGTGCTCCCTCCACCCCCCCCAGGCTTTGACTGTTGGAGGCAGACAGGCTGGGCCTCAGGACCAGGCTGACTGGACACTGGGCAGGGGGCCCAGGAAGGCCAGTGGGTGATGGCATCCCAAGCATGTTGGGGACAGAGTGACTGCTGGCCAGTGACCGAGACCCCTGCACGGCTGACCTAAGTCAAGCACTTCCCTGTTCCAGGAGGAAACTGCTGCCGGCTTAGCTGGAACCCCACCCCCCAGTCACCCCCATATCCGGGGCCCCTCAGCCTGCCCCCCCAGGGGGACCCTGTCAGGTCAGTGCAGCCAGAACCCCTGGCCCTGAAGACCTTCCACACACGCCCACCTGCTCCTGAGCCGCAGACCCGCTGGCCACACTGGTCTGAGTGGGGCCCCATGTCCTCCCGGCCCGCGGCCATTGCCCGCCCCTGTACCTGCCCGAGGGCCTTGAATAAAGTCCCCTCAGCGTGCTTTAACAATCATTGGATAATTCCCCCATCAACACGGAGCACCTGCCCCATCCCGGAATTGGATGGCTCTACATGGTAGCCCCATCTGGCCTCCGTGAGAAGGGTGCGACCCATCTGTCCCTCCACGCACAGGGAACAAGCAGCAGCAGTGCGGGACTGGCCGGACCTCCTCCCTGGAGCACCCCGGCTGCACCCACTTCACCGGCTGCAGGAGGTGGGCAGAGCCATGGGGCAGGAGGCCCCGGCGCGAGACCCTGGCAGGCATGCAGCAGTGTAGTGCTCTGGCCTGCGGGGCTTGGGCCAGGCCCTGCAGTGCCCTGGGATGCCCTGGGATGCCGAGACCCAGTGTGTCAGGCACAAAGGCAGCTGCGATCTACTCAGGAACGGATCAAAGGTAGGATGCACGAGGACCTTCTCGAAAACCTGACATACTGACTGTGACCGCTCCCACCAGCTGAACACTGGTCGGCTCGGGGCACCTGCTCAGGCCACTCACGGGAGCCGGCTGCCCCACTCATAGCATTGTGCGTGGAACGCGCTCACCCGTCAGATACCCGGATACCGGAGTCGGCTGGCCAGGTCACCCGCAGCCAGAACCGTGACTGTCCTATCTGGCCAAGTTCTGAGCTAAATTCAGGTGGGCGCAGTCCACTGAAATGACCTTGAAGTCCCCAGCAGCACGAACGTGGTGAGCTCTAGCATTTGTCAGCCATATTAAGTCCAGCACGGGGCTGGCACATACTAGCTCACTCACGCCTGGTAACAGGATTAGGCTCCACACTGCTGAGAAACAAGCCCCTAGTGGCGAAGGCCAGCTGAGGTCACACAGCACAGGCCGGGGCAGTGCCAGCCCTGTCCTGTAGGAACCCAGCTCTGAGTGTGGCTGTGTGGCAGGACTGACCACCACCTGCTGCCAGGCTCCTCCTCTCCACTACAGAGCTCCTGCCAGAGTCCGGCCCCTGGGGAGCCTGGCTCCTCCTCCTGCTCACTCCTTCAGAAGACAGTGGGCTCCCGAGATCCCAGCCACCTAATTCCCCTGACGGCTCCTGGAAAGAATTTTTACTACTAGTGACAGAGGGCCATACGGGTCCCTCCACGCTGGGGCACTATGGTGACTAGCCTGGACTGCCAGGGATGAACGGCCTTCTGCTTTCTCCCCGACTATGTGATCTCACACAATTCGAGCCCCCTCCCCATCCCAGCAGACCCAGGTGCCCTGCAGACCCGCCAGGGTGTGGGCCAACACAAGGACTCGTCCCTGGTGCCCTCTGGCTGTCCACCCACCTCCAAGCCAGGACACCAGGGTCCTGACACCCCGGCCCGCTCTCAGCCCCTCCTTCGTCGTCCAGGTTGAGCTCTGGCCCCACGGAGCCCGGGCTGTTACCACCGGCCCGAGCGCGCGTGGGCTTCTAACCCTGTCGGTGCCGGCCCAAAGGCTCGGCCTCCTCCCAGCCGGGCTCACTCGGACCTGCGAACCCGCACGGGCCTCCCAAAGGGTCCTTTCCCAGCTCCTTCCCCGTCAGGACCGGGGCCCCGCTGTCCTTCCCGCCGGTCGGAGCTTGGGGCCGGGAGAGCGGCGCACTAAAAACGCACGTTCCCGGGCCAGCTGGGCCCGCCCCCGGGGCCGCCCCTGACCCCGACCCTTGCGTCCCCAGGCTCCACCTCCTGGCCAGCCTCCCCCCCCCCCCCTGTTGCGCCCGCCACTTGTTCCCGGGTCCGAGACTGAGACCTCCCCTTTCCTTGGCCGACCCCCGCCCTTCCACCCACATCGAACCGACCCTGGCCGCCCGGACCGGCCCCGGAGCCTCCCAGGCCGCCCGCCCGCACCCGCGCTCCCGCCCACGGCGCGCCCCACTCACCACTCCGCGCCGTCCACCCTTCCAGGCTCTTTTTCCAATCAGCGACGAGCGCCCTGCGCCGGCTGCGCCAATTAGAGACATCTGCGTCACTGACAAAATTACCAATCCAAAGTCGCAATCGCTCTGAGAAGGGCGGAGCTTTCCCGGGTGGACCCTCAACGCCGATTGGCGGCTGACCGCAGGGTGGCAGGGGAGGATCCCTGTGCGGATTGGAGAGGGCGGTGATGGGGCGGCTCCCGGGCTCCTGTCAGCCGCGCGCAGGGCGGGGCGGGCGGTGCCGCCCAGCCCCGCTAGGGGCCCGGGTGCGGGGCAGCTGGGCGGGCAGCTGAGGCGGCGTCATGTCCTCGGAGGTGGCCTCGCGCCGCGACGCCAAGAAGCTGGGGGGGCACCC